GGATAAATTTATTTATATATATATTTTATATATAATAATACATACACCATGAATTTGTCAAAACATATTCACAACAGTAACAAAATAATAATAACGAAAACAAAGACTTACATTGTGTTTGCATCACTTCTCACAGTGTAAATAAACCGTGACACGATATATCGACACGAGCTCATCTCTTTACAATTCTTTATACAAATAGTGTTTTAATTGGTTTTTATGCTCGTTTTTCTGTTTTTGGTTGTTTCTAGGGTTAAGCAGCTTGACCTTATATTAAGCAGAGACAGTTCTAGCTCCTTTAGAACTTGTCTCGACGTCTGTGTGTGCTGGCCGAATTCTATATCCATTTGTTTTTGGACATGGACGAGCGGAGTCGGCGACCCCACATCAGGTTGTATCATACAATCGTGCCCTGCAAATGCTGCGGCGACGGAGCCTGCGACGACTGCGGCAGCGAGTCCTGCGCCTGCAGCGAGGCGCCCGACGAGGTGCTCGGCCCGGGACCCAGATCTGCGGTATTTATGGCCAGCGAGGAGCCGGCGCCCAGCATGCCGCCGCTGCTACCGCCGCCGCCACCACCACCGCCACCGCCGCTGCCACCACCGCCGCCGCCTCCTCCTCCAGAGCTGCCGCCCAGTGCCGACGGATTAATGCCGCCCACACCGCCGCCGCCCAGCACACACGGCACGCCCAACATGGGCGTTGGCTCCTCGGGCGGCGTCACTTGCAATGAGATTTGATTCTAGAGAGAGAGAGAGAGAGAGAGAGTTGAGAAAATCTGTTGGCAGAGTGAGCGGGAGACCTTTACCTCCATGCCAATGCTGCCATTGAGTGATATCTTGATGGGATTGCTGTGATTGGTGGCCTGCATCAGTGTGGTAAAGTGACTGATGCCGATCTCCTCCAGCGAGGACTTGCGGCGACCATGGCTGACGCCCACGCTGGGCAAGCCCTGCCGCAGCGAGGACGAGCGACGCAATAGTATATCGTTATCGATCTGTAAGTACAATAGTATTGGACACATCCAAAAGGCAGAGACCGGATTAGAGATTAAAGGCAACTAGCGAATGGCCAAAACAAAACAAAACACAAGAACACACAAAGACACATGAATTACACAATACAAATTGGCTACAAGAATTTCTCTCTCTTTTTTTCTTTTTTTTTTTTCTTTTTCGCGGGCCTAAACACACATTGAAGTGAAATCCGTGCCGCACGCTAGTTGATTAAATTGTTTGCATTAGGCTATTATATTATTATTATTATTATTATTTTGATCGTGATGATTATTACTGTTGCTGTTATTATTTCGTTACGGTATTTATATTCTTTGCGGGTGCAAAACCAACTCGAGTTAACGGAAACGGAAACGTGATGTGGACATATCCGTTGCGTGCGTGCTTTATGGTTATGAATGGTTGCTGAACTGCTTTAGTTGTACTTGGTGTTGCTGACAGTTGTTGTTGTTGTTGTAGTTGTTGTAGTTGTTGTTGTTGATGTTGGTCTGGCTGTTGCGGCTGTCGAGTGCTGCGGCTTTTTGAAACGCTTCAATTTTGTGAAATGGATTGATTTTTGCGAGTCTTTCGATAACGAAATGCAACCAAATTTTGATGCTCTACATGGATCTATGTGTTTGTGTCTATGTGTTTGTGCTAGTAGTGTGTGTGTGAATTGTGGCATTTTATACATTGTGCTTCTTCATACAACAACTGGGTGTACGATTGCTCAAGTCTAGGTGTTATGTTAGCCAATTAGGTAAAGTAAAATCACATTTCGGTAAGCCGAAGCATTCAATACCCTTGCAGCTCTTTGGTAAGCAAAAATAGGGCAACTGTCTATATCAGGTATGTATTTAATTAAAGAAAATTGTAATCTATCTTTTTGTGTATATATTAAAATAAAATAAAAATAATACTAATGATAATAGGTAAAAAAATCAATAAGAAAAATATACATACTCATTTAATTCAAAATTAAAAAAAAAATATATGTATATACTTCATTCAATAATTCATAAAAAAAATTTCATACTGAAAATTTTAATTTCCTCCTAAAATATGGCTATAAATATGCCATCCAAACTTAAGGAAAGCAGCGTAAAATTTTAGGAAAAGCTTTTTTAGTATTTATTTTTGCATGCTAATTTGATTCCTATGAAAAACTGTGATTTGAAGGTAAATGAACTAAGTATTTAAGGGAACTAATTATACATTTTATGGGTCATCTTGATATTCATGCTATTGATGTTCAGGCCTCAAAGAACTCTCAATGTTTTTCAAGCTAAAAAATTTGTGGCTTTAAATTTTTTTTGCTGTTGCTGCAAAGGTATTGAAATGTTAAATATGTAATCTGTAGCAGATAAATGTATATTTATGCAATGCCAGAGCGAAATGGATAGATCGTGAATTTAAGGCATATGTAAGGCAGCTCTGGCATTTGATAAATACACAGTTATCTAGATAAAGTTGTGGACATAAATGGAGTGGAGTATATTTTTTGGAGTGTCGATAAACGTGAACGCAAAAAACAGGAAAGTGGAAATCGTGTGACTCAGATAGAGAGGCAGTGAGCAGTAAGTGAGTGAGACAGTTATAGAGAAAGAACATAAAACAGAGAGAGAGAGAGAGAGAGAGGGGGGGAGATAGGTGTAGGAGGTGTGGATAGAGAGAATAATAGCCAACCCGCAATGAGTTACTCCTGCCGCGCTGCGAGCCAACCACCGTCGGACTGTCGGGTAGAGAAAGAGAATTCGATTTAATTTGCTGCATCGGGGGCGTACAGCGCTGCGATGATCCATACCCGGCCAATGTCTGAACGCTCTGCATTTGCATGGGGTTCAAACCGGCGATGCCGGAGCCGCGTCGCGAACCAGCTCCGACGGCGGTGTTGCTCATATTTGGCATTTGCGGGCCACAGGTGGCGCCCAAATTGATGTTCGAACAGAACGAAATGTTCGACTTGCGGCGCGAATTGTGACGCTCGAAGGTCTTTTGTGCCGAGAACGGTGAGGGGCGCACCAAATAGCTGTGAATATTGGGTAGAACAGAAATTAATTAGCTTAAATTTAAATGTATTGAATATATATAGAAGATTTCTTTTTAGAATAAACTATTTATTAATCATAAAATAAATAATATCAATTATTAGAATTANTAATAATAACATATAACAAATATTTTGCATCTGAAACTAAAACTATAAGCAAGAACTACACTTGTTTATAAAATTCGATATAAATATTGCTGAAGTGTGAGGAACAATCAAGAAAGCTAAAAATAATTTGTTTCTGAATTAGTTTAAATTCTAGTATTTTTTTTTTTCGTTTGTATTCTATTTCTCATATATATTTGTAGAAGTATTTTAAAGCAATTTGCATGCCTGAGATTTAATTAACTAATTATACTTTCTGCTAAGAGTTTTCTGAGTACTCACTCCCCGATATTCTTTATAAATTGTAAAATATTTTTAACTCTATCAAGTCTATGCCAATTACAAACTAGTTGTAATCTAAAAAACATCAGCCAGTCCCAACTGTTTTATACCCTAGCCACTGTTCCCGAGATCAACTATAAAATATTCTACTCATTCGCTCTCGCTCTGGGCAAGAACCCAAGGGCCTTCGTTTTCTTTCGTTTTGCTTTCTCTGAGCGCCTTGAGTTGATCTGTTCGTGTGACGCTCTTTGAACGAACGTCGTTTAGAGTGATACGATTTGAAGAACCGACCCAATTGATCTCTCACTTTTCTGTCAGAGTGTGAGTGGCGATGAGAGACGTTCAACGAGCTACGGATACACATTTTTCCTCATTTTTCACTCTATGCTATATAAGTTTCTTGATAAGCAAACTGAACTCTCTCGAATCATACTCACATCAGATCGCCCTCCTCCAGCTTAAGATCACAGCTTGGATTGATTATCACATAGGACAAATGATTGCGCTTCTCGCTGACATCGTCGTAGTCGATGGTTGGCAAATTGAGCGACTCCATGCGACTGCGCACCAGATTGGCGATTTCCGCTCGCTCGATTTGCTGGGCGTGATTATCGCGTGCCTCGTCAGCCAAATTGATGGAATACTGCAAGAGATGTTGGTCCAGCCAAACATTAAAAATGTATGCAAGTCGAAGAAGTTTGCTCAATTTGTTAACTACACAAATGTGTGTGTGAGTGTGTTTCTTTGTTTCTGTGTATGTGAGTGCAGTGATAATGTTATCTTAGATATATACTCAGTTTTTTGGCATCCATCACCAACAGCATGCGTCAAAGCGTCAAGAACCAAGTCAGAAAAGGAACTAAAACTCACCTACCTCGCGTCACGCCCACAATTGTGATATTTGTGTGTGTATGTGTGTGCTTTTCTTTTTTTGGACTTGAAATGAGATTACTTACGGATGATCCTTTACGCTCCGAACAGCCGCCCAGGCAATTGACTGACTTCTGGCGCGGCCGGCCACCACCRCCACCACCTGCACCACCACCAATACCACTACCACCACTACCCGCTGTCGGCGGACGATATGTAACACCTCGCAGCATTTCCGAGCTATCCTTGGTGGAGTCGGGCGTGCCAGTCTCCTCATCATACTTAGCATGGAATTGTTTTTTTTTTTTTTTTTTTTTGGCCGGGTCGAGATGTTTTTTGGTATGCAAATTTCAATGAATTTTTCGGTTAAACACAAAATGATTTACATTTTTAATTGGTTTTTAATTGAAATGGCAGATTGTATCAGTTTTATGCGTGAATAATGTTTATCTTTATATATATATATTTTTTTTTCTTTGGGCTTTATGCTCATTTAATGTTAACGATGTTATCTTTAGATATATGTATAGATGTATTATTTAGTGTGTGTGCGTGTGCGTGTGCATGTGTGTGTGTGTGTGTGTACAAAAAACAAGGTAACATTGAATCTGTGTTGTTAGTCATGCCGAATAAAATGTTAACTAAAAGCCAAAACATGTTCGTAATCAATTTTTCGTTTATAATCAAATTAATGGAAAAAGCATCGAAAGAAAATTGAAAAGAAAAACAAAATGAAAAACTATTGTTCATAAAAGGTGCTTGGCAAGCGCTTGTTCACAAATTCGCGCAACGAAATGATCGAAAAGTCAATTAAAAATCTAATTAATATGCTAAATGAAATGGTCTCTTCAGGATTTTGCCTATTTCGTGCTTTGCAGCTCGAGTTTCATAGTCGCCGTTCGTTTCGCTAATTTGTATCGATTTTTTAATCAAGCTAAGCAATTTTAATGAGCATTTCGAAACACGAAAGTTTTCTCTGGTATCTATGTATTTAATTATTTTTTTTTTTTTACAAATTGATTAAATTAAATTGGTGGAATAAAGAGCAGAATAAAAGATAAATACTGTACGGCCATTGCTTTAATAAAATTGTATATT